TAAAGCTTCATGAGATGCATAGGAAGCACACTGATGACTGGAGCTCAGAGAAGTGCAGGTACCATGCTCTGCCTAAGTTATGATGTGGGGTATGTATTTCACAGCTTAACCATCTTTGGCTCTTAAAAAGTAAGTCTTGCACAGCATGCACTGTAAAACTATACCAGCAAAAGTGTTTCTTGGAGTTCTAAACAATATTTAAAAGTAATTCAATAAAAAAGCATTTAATGGGAGCAAGGGGCAAATGGGATAGGAGCCTTAACAATATTAACAGGTTTGTACAAACAGCCACATCCACCCAAAAGCATAATCAAATAAAGCAATAGTTATGTTATAATCATCAACACAGAAAGTCTCTCTGCATGCTAAGCCTTTGTATTTATGATGCAAACCTCTGCACCAGATGTAAAATCTGGCTCCCCTTTCCTGTTCTGTACCTGGCTGCCACTTGTGTATGATTTGTCTTCTGTCCATGTGCAATGTAGCAGATTAGCAAGGAGAAATCTAAACTCTAATCTGTGCATCATTAACTGTATTCACTCCTGCATTGTTAACTTCTTTTGTACCTTGAATTTCTCATCAAAAATGTTTGTAAGGCTTTCCATTAAACACATTTGAGAAAAGACATTGTGATGTCAGTTGGCAAGAGCAGATGAAGTGTGATCAAGACGTTTGTCTTTATGACCATATCTTGCCAATCTAAAACTGAACAATGCCACCCCAACATCTTCCTTGTTACTGTTCAGCATTAAAATAAAGCCTCCATGGTCCACCTCACACCACTTAACTGGCAGAAGTATGAATTACTGTAGCAGGTGGGCTAGTGTGGTTTTAAAAGCAATGTAATACAATCAACTGTACAATATCAGATTTCAAGGAACGCAAAAGACATCTAGAGCAGAGGCTGATCCTTAAGCAATCCTAATATTGGCATTCAAGTGTTCAAGATCCCACAGGGATCATTTTATCGTTTGACCCCAGGTTTTAATTGAAACTTTAAACAAAATATATTACCTATTTAATGCAGCTGAGCTGGACTCAGGCCTTTGTAGTGCATGTTGCCATGCCAAGCAAATTAATCTGTGTAACCTTAGCATGTACTTTTTAATTTACATCAAAGAAATGTGACATAGAGAAAATAAATAGCAAGCCAACCCTATACAGCTTATTGAATAATTATTTTGATTCTAGTTTTAGAGTTTTAATTTTTGGCTGGTTTGGGTTCTTTTAGGAAAAAAAAAAAAAAAGGTTTTACTTCTTGGTACAAAGCCAGAGAAACATATGGTTTCCTTAGCTGAGTTGTTGCACACCTGGCAAAATAAATCACAGCAACAGGAGACCAAAATCTACCCTGCAACTTTTCATATGCACAAACTTAGAACATCTGACGCTAGTCTTCTGGCCCTGCCTTTTGTACCATGAATAAAATGCAAAGTCAAACGGATGGCTTTCTTCTTGAGGCCTAATACTTCTTCTTTCTTTAAGAGATAAGTTACTTAGAGTTTTAAAGGATGAGAGTCAGCCGGGCAGACTGGCACACTCGAGGAATGAGTCACTGGGCCTGTCAGAGTGAAAGGCCAATAGAAGCAAGCACAGGAAAAGAAGTGTAACACAAACAGGGAAAGCAGGTGGTGTAAAGGCTTAACGCTGCTGGAGTGTTAATACTACCACACTCAGAATGCTGGCGTTCAAACCCTAATTCTGTTTAAAAAGACCTGTTTATTCTCTTTTGAGTATGCCATGTACACCATACAGGGGAAAAAAGCCTCCAGAAAATTTTCAACAACGTGATTGAATAATTATCAAAAACTAGAGGAAGCACTGTTTTCTTACATCACATGCCAACAAGTGGCAATATGTGTGCCACTGAATCAAGCAGAGCAATTGCCAGAGACTCAGAATACATTAATCACAACTGCAGCATATAATCCTCAAGTGTACCTGTTCTTGGATTTTATGATAAACTGTGAAGGCTTTTTGCACAGGTAGAGAGACAAAGAAGGACCTTTCCTTCCCGAGCAGATGGGGAGCACTGCCAAGTTTCTCCCCCTTCCTCCCCAGCAACAAGCACACGGTGAGTGGGACAGCTCAGTCGGCTTCATGCAGTTCCAAGCGCATGACACAGGACTGGCCTATTTCAGTTCCTCTAGTCTCCCTTTTAAAGGCCAGAAGTAGGCAGACAAGTTTATGCAATGCTGTTTACCAAAGAAAGTGTTACAGTGAACATGTTTATAATTTTATCTTGAACATCAAAACAGAAATAAACAATCCAGTCGGCCTTCTGGTTCCCAGTGACACAGTGTGGGCTGCAGAGCGGATGCACTCCTGATAATGGATGCGCTTGCCTTGCTCTCCTGTCACACTCGATGCAAAGAGATGACTGAATAGGTGTTTAGGATTTATCTCCCCCAACTTGAGCTAGCACGTCTAAGCTAGTCATCTCCGCTCCTTTTACAGGAGAAGTATGCTTGCAGGGGATTATTTGTATCATCTACAATAGGTGTCTAAACCAGATGGGCTTAATTACTCCCCAGAGGTGTCTTTTTCTTTCCATACCATAAAGTGAGCATAGCTACCTAGTTCTGTCTTATCATTGAACATTTACACTAGTGCAGGTAGGAGAGACTAACCTAACTAACTGCAGTCATGTATGCTAATGCAGACGCATCCAGGACAGCTTTAAACAAATCAGTCTGAGTCCTGCTGTTAATACAGCTGCACTGTGTTCAATTCAAGTCACTACCCAGTTCTTTATGTAGCTTCTTGGGTTGCCTTTGCAGCATAGCCAACAAGCTACACCTCAGCAACCAGTGTGAAGCAAGTTCTGGTTTCCCTGCAACAGCTGCCACCACAACAGCAACCAAAATACAAATATATGCTACACTAATGGTAAGTTGTACTTTACAGATCTCCGTAATAGCCTGTTGCTCTTTGCAATAGGCTGAAAGGGGCTAAGGTAATCTTAGTTGACCCTAACTTGTTATGCCGCTATGGCATCCGAAGTGCCGCCGGCTGCCTAAAGGAAACAGAAGCCAGAGTATGGGCTAAGCAGTGGAGGCAGGATGCGTAGCAGCAGCCAAGCCTGGGCAAAGGACTGAGCTGGTCTTTTTGTTCACTATCTCTTTGTGAGTTAATAAATGCAAATCCCAGGAACAGAGTGAACTTGGACGTCATGGACCGTGCTTATAAAGGAAGCTGAGAAAGGCCTCCTGAACCTAAAAAAGTAACCAATGGGCAAAAAAGTAAAAACCTAAAGAATCTTACAGGTCATAGTGGTTCTAAAGGGAGCAGCTATTCATTGGAAAAGAAAAAGGGTGGCACAGGCTTGCTTTGTGATGGAACAACCATCATGCTAGAAACAGCATTGGTTTACTTTATCCAATTTCTGTACTTCTGAGGAGCACTTTTATCAGAATTATGAAATACATATCTGCACTAAAAAGGTACTCAAACTCTGGAGGGTTTGCTGGAGCACTGCAGCACTTCCAACAGTCACTATAGGACACAGACAGTAAGCAAAGGCTGAATTCACTGAGCGGCGACTGTTGATATCCCCACCAAATTTATTAGCAAATGCTGATAAATAAAACTAAGACTCACTATGAACTAAAGTACATGCAATAATCAAATTGTGCGTTTTAGGGATTTTAGCCACTTGCATTAATCTGACAAAGGTCAGAATTCAGGTAGAAATACCTCTATTGAACTGTATGAACTGTTAAGAAAGTGCTTATACTATTATTGACATTAGATAGTTTGTCACTGTGACAATTACCCAATTTAGCATTTACAGAGATTTGCAAACACGTAGCATCAGTTACAACTACAATTTTAGAATATTTTTTTCTTATGCCCAAGTACTTGTAAGGAGCCAAGAGGCCTCTCCTAAATAAGTAGAGAGGAGTGAGTGATGCGTCCTTTCAACAACTGTGTCAAACCAATTGGTATGAATCAATACATTCTCTTGTATTTTAGGCATTGGGAGTGGGAAAAAAAGCCACAAAATATCACATGCTTCTTGTTGATCCTAAATGTTTCTACATAGATTTTTAATTGCTCTACTTCAAAGTACTTTAAAGGCATCTTACAGCCTTTTCTGTCCCAGACAGGAGCTCACAGTCTACTGAGCCAGACACCAATGCTGCTTAACAGAAACACATGCCCTTTCAGAAAGAATTCCACCTAAAAGCACCTCTGGAACAATGAAGAACCTGCCCTCTTGTTTACAGATTTGAATACTATAAACAATAATTCATATTATCTTCTTTTATCTGTTTAATATATCCTGTATAAAGATGTGATGAATACATGAGGAGCTGAGGCAAGTTCAGAAACAAAAAAACACCTCAGGTAAATTAACATTTCTTGCAGTACTCAAGGGACTCTGTTAAAATTTTGAAGGACAGATAGGCTCATCCTGGAAGAAAAATTCTCTCACTGTAGATGTCTAACTAACAGTACACCAGCTGGAAAATAAGTTTTTGGCACAACCTGCAAAAGAAAAATCCAACTGTCTCTGTGGGCCTGTTTGGACACCTTGTTGGTTTACAAGGGAATTTAACATCCAACACTCACACTAAATTTTATTTTATAATCAGTCTCACTCCATTTTCTACGCAGTAAATACAATTTCTTCTTAGTTTAAAAGATGACTGAATGAGAGATTAAAAAAACCTGTCAGAATTGCACGAGGTCTCCAAGATAGTGGGTGAGAGATTCTGGAGGCAGAGAAAAACACCATGCATTCTAAACGTACGAGTGCTGCATGGACACTCTTAAGATATCCAGTATCTAACAGTCTCACCATTTATTGTGCCTTATCCAGCATTGCAGTTACTAGCATTTAAGCTTTGAACCTGGTTTAGCTCGTATCTACTGAAGGCAATTATTTTTGTTTTTATTAGCTAATTCATTTGAGCGCCAGTTGCCCGGCTGAGCTCTTTTGTTTCACCCTGCCTGACTCGTCAAGTATCTTTCTGAAGTACTAACAACATGCTTACCCATCATGTTGTATAAGCTCTGTGGTGCAAACTGTCTTGGCATTTTCTGTATTGCTTCTTTGTAAACCATAAGGGCATCCTGAAAAGAAACAATACACAGATGGGACAAATCATTAGTAAAGCACCAATTTCAAAAGCAGTCTTTCGCATATAAAGCAAAACTAAATTAACTTCCTTCCCCAAATGAAAGGTGCACAGAGAAAACACATCAGCATCATAAATATCACAGGAAGTTCAGGCTTCTGATTTACAAAAGTTTTACCAAAGTCAGTGAAGCTCATTGACAAGAGATCAAATTAGTTCCAATATTGTAACTCTTTGTCCAGGTGGAAATAAAAGGAACACTTTTTTAAGCCCCACAAATGACTCATGAGTTTATAAACATACATGAAATTCTATAGGCTGTCAGATATATATATAACTGCAGACAAAGGACTTTCTGAAGACTAAGCTACAGTAAGTAACCTAAAAATAAAGAAATCATTGTCTACTGTAAAGTAATAACAAAACATGATCCTCACAACATAAGTGCTCCACAGAAAGAATGAGACGGACTATAGCATTAAGAATGCCACAAATGGATTCCCTTTGCAAATGTCTGTGCCTTGAATTACTTATCACACATTTGTGGTTCATTCAGCACTTAGGATGCTTACTGGTCAGTCTGTTAGCCTGGCATCATTTTCTACATCTTCCCATCAAATAGTCGCAGCTTGTGAAGGCTGAAATATGCTTCAAAAAAAAAATAATCTAAGTGTAGGATCAAATCAAGGCTGGGTCAGACTGCAGTGACCACCAGGCAGAAGTCTGATGGTTTGTATTCTTAAAATCCCTTGCACCTCCCAGGCATTGCACTCCAACTCCATACTCTATCAGCCATGCAGACAACACGCTGCTGTTCTCTTATCTTTATGGATGTATTAGCTGTCTGTGTCTGTGTTTTAACCTATTAGGAACTGCCATTTGACAGAGCTGGATTCGGCTGACAGATGACAGAGAATCCATAGAGCTTGTGCATGCCTAATCTTAAACAGCTGAGGTAACTGTCGCGGTCAGGAAGAGTTATATAGATCAAAACCATGTGTAACTCCTGTTCTGAAGTATGCCTGGCAATACAAAGAGACAATGACTTACTTTCAAATACTGCTAAAGGTCAAAACGCAAGTGAATGTCCAGTTTTAGCAAATTCATCAGGGAGAATGGAGAGGAATCACAACAGTCACATTTCCACATATAATTGAGATGGGATGCAGCATATTTGGTACATTAAAAAAATCCACCCCACTTTACCACTTAGGTCAAGTTACCTGAAAATAGCAGATAGTGGGATGTTTTTAATCACTGAAGTTTTGCATCGTTCCAACTAGGTCTTATTTTTGGAGACTCAAAAGCAAACACAATTGCATTTTTTTCAACTAAAGACAGACTTACTCTATTTTGAAGTAAAAAAGCCAGGACTCTTTAGGTTAGCTGGTCTGTTATCAGGCTATATCCTTTGCATCCAGCCATGGGGACAAAGGCAAAAAGAATTAATTAACACGTATCAGATGTAACCATTGCTCTGATGACCCTGACATCAGAACATCACACTGCTAACTAGTATCATCACACCTGTGGCTGTAGAGAATAAGTATTCTCTTCAGAGAACGCTAATCTTGATTTGGTGAAATTCAATCAGTTTGTACCTGTGATGTATTTTGCAAGTCTGGATGGCAGCAATACGTATTATTTATGTATGAATGTTTTATCATGATATTGTACACAAATCTGGAGTCTTACCTCATAGTGTCCTTGTTCATGATAAAGTTTTCCTAAGTTATAAAGACAGCTAGTAACAGAGCTTTTATGAGCATGAGGGTCTTTCAAATTTTCATCAGGGATCTCCGAACACTTCAGGAATGTCCTCCTGGCTTCCTCTGTCTTCCCTTGGTTCATCAGGATGATACCAGTATTTAAATAGGCAGCTGTGAAGCAGGAAACAATGTTATCTTTTAATGGGGTTCCACTATGTTTATCTAATCTTTCTTTTACTTCAAAGTAATATCTGAAAGAGATGTTCTGGTTATCTAATTTGGCTTTTGTAACATATAGATCAATCACTGGTGTAAAGAAGAACATATAAGAGGTAAAAGTTCAGAGACAAGGAAAGGACAAAGTGGCTATAAAAACTGAGGAAGGAGGGAAGGAAACACTGGTTAGTCAGAGTGCTTCATTTTGTTCCTCTTCTGACTGTATCAAGCACATAGTGTCATTGTTTGGAATGTCACAAAAATATATACATATATTTATACATACATGGAAGATCTCATACTGAAGCTGGAAAAAGTCAACAATCTTAAAAAGTACCCACTTAATTTTGGAACTGATCACTGGCAACGTCCTATTTTTTTTATTTGGGAATTCTTTCCCATGTCCCCCAGGCAAGAAAGGAAAAATTAAAGGACTTCAAAAATATTTGTATTGTTCACTCACACCACATACCATAAAAATCAGGGACTGGCTGTAAGAAACAGAAAACAGGAGCCTGAAAATTTGAGCAGTAGCATCTATGGCTTACCGCCCCAGATCAGAAGCCTTTTAGGTTCTAGCAGTGCTGCCCAGTGTTAACTCATTATCTGCTTCTTCCCTGCACCACATTAAATGTAGTTGTTGACTAATAAACACTTGCTTTTAACTGAAAAGTGCATAATTTAATCTTTTGCTTTCCAAATAAAAAACTTCTGGAAAAAAAAAAAAAAAAAGTGTTATTAAAGAGTAGGAAGATTTCCTTAAAAAACTATGGTCAATATTATGCAAGCTTGTCTGGCTGAAATACTTACAAGCTAGTGTGGGTCTGCTACCAATTGCCAGTTTATAGTAATGCAATGCCTCTGAAAACCTGCTGTTTTCCTGAAGTAGTAATCCTCTGCATAAGAACAAAAAAAAAAAAAAAGAAGAAAAACAAAAAGAAAAAGACAAGAGAGAGCGCGGTTACTGCAAAGAGTAACTTCAAAATAAATATTGAAAACAAAACTAAGGTAACACAGACAAATATTTTGACTGGTGTTTTAGAGATGTAACAACTCTGCATGTTACTAACAATTCAGTGGGAAAATTATTTTGTGTGAAAACAGGATTAATCCATCGACATCAGGTGCATCCATATGGCTTTAATAAAACAGATGTTAAATGCAATAGTTTTGGCTTTCTTGGAAACCAGGAGATTCATCTACTCATTTGAGAAAATGGCAGACTATAAGACTTTTAAAGCAGATGCAGTATGGTGGAGGTATGTGTAAGCATTCATGTTTAGCCTGTAGTCTTTTCTTGACTTGAAATAAGCAGATCTTTTACAAATGCACAATAAAGTTAACCACCTAACACTTACATGTATTACCTTAACCAGTCCCCCTGTTGAGCAATTTCACTAGATTATTCACTGTACAGCTAAGCACCTATATCAGTTCAGTTTTTTCCTGTCTTCTTTCGGCTCTGAACAAATTTAAAAACTGAAGAGGTGTCAAAAATGAAACCGAGTACTTCCAGTTCTTAGTTAGCTTCACAATCCATGGGCTTTAATTAAAACTTTTAAGACAAGCATCCTTACGAATTACAATTTACACCAGCCACCCACAGGTTTCTGAGAAATAAGTGGCCTGGACATCACTGACATGAATTCATAATTGTATGCTCAGAGGAAGGCTCAAAGCATTAGTTTTCCCAAAGTTTAGAAGACTGAAAAAAGCATATGCAAATATATTAAAATCACAAGGACTTAAAATGTCCCTCTCCATATACCTCAAAATATCCAGGAAAAAATAAATGCAGTTATTTCTTTCAGGTGGGAGGGTTATTGTATCTATTTAGCTCTCAACTAACTTCAGATCAGGTAGTAAATCACTTTTAATATTAACAGAACTCACATTTAGTTGGTACATGCAGTAATGTGAGCAATGAGGGAATAACATTCAGGATACTTTTCAGCACGGCACCAAGGTTGGTAACTACTGTCAAGTGCCTTGCAGGTGGCAAGAGGTACAATTGCCTAACTTTTCTAGAACCTGAATTTTGTTTACTCTAAAAATTTTTATGGACTGTAATTACTCCAAGGAAAATTATTATTATTATGGTATTTTGATCCAGTTTTCCATTGATAGCAGTAGAAGTAACATAAAAATAAATGAGTCACATGGTCTGACATTTAAGTTGCTGCTTACTTTTTAAAAGAACAAAAACATTCTTACACACAATTCTGGGACAAATTTATGAAAGAAATTCCATTCTTATTTTAGTTCTGGAATAAAAAAAATCACATATTAAGAGAAGTAACACAGTAACTGGTCAACTTGAACAAAATAAATTACTTCGGTAAGTATTTGACATTTGTGCTTTTTGGATTAAAAGAACTTTTATTTGTAATTATTACCAAATTAATCTTCTGTGTTCACTACATGCTTTAGTACTGTCACTCTTGATTAATTATTTGATACTTCAAGGTGCTGGGTTTTTTTTCTACTCCTCTTCCAGCAAATCTTTTTCTTTTAAAAGTTGTTCCACTAACAGGTATTATCTCTCTCTCTCTCATGCACACATTTATATATATTAAAATCCCAAGCTGGTCAGATGCAAGATTGAGTGCTGAATTGCAGCAAATATTTAGTGTTTTATTTCTATTTCTTATGAGGTTTGGTAGACAAAAAGTAGAAAAAAAATAATCAAAAAACCTTTACAAGGCATGAAATTGCCTCTTCTTGTGAAATTGGTCCTGACTGATCTCTGGTTTTCCTTGTGGCTTCTGACAGTACAAAAATAACTAGATTTATAAGTCTCTAGTTCTAGTTTTAGATTAAAAAAAGTCAGGAAAAGGCTTAAAGGAAAATGAAAAAATAATATTTTTACTTGAATAAAATTAACACTTAGGGGAGTATGCTTCTGAGAGATAACTGGCTTGGATGTTCACCTATGAAGCCATAAATAGTTATTTAAATAGATAAAAAGTTATGATTATGAACATTGCATAAACATTCCTGAAATTACAGTGAATATTAGAAGAGTTTAAAGAGCAGTTATATTTCACTTCCAAGATGAAAAAATCAGATCCCCTCTAGCTCTAAGCTCAAATAAAATTTAGGCATACAAATATGCTCAGCAACCTCTATCTACTCACAAATTGTAACTAAAACTAAACCCAAACAGTTCAAATTTAGTTACTGCCAAAATTAATACTGCCTGTGAAATGTCCTACTTCTCTTTTTAGAGCATTTGTATTACAATTCCTGTCTCTAACTACATTATTGCTCACTGTTAGTTCCACAGGTCTACTGTCTCTTTCGCCACACAGAAGGAATATAAATGAGCAATAGTTCAATATTTGCTTCTGTCTCCAGTTTCTACAAGTAAAACATCACCACCTTCTTATAAATATTTACCTTTTGAGTAAAATACAAAATCAGCCTCAGGATCAAACAACAAACTACTGTTTATTTCAAAATCAGTTTAAGAAAATCTGCAAGTCCACAGGTCCTATATTTTTCTTTCCATTGCTGCATTTCACAGTATCTAAGCCATTTCCAAGACAAAAAACATGCTGATTTTCAGCTAGGCATTAAATCCGAGAGGCAGTCCTGAGGTTCGGAAGAACAGGACAGTTCAGCCTTAATATCACACTGCTCAACCAGTGGACCTGATCAGTAGAGTCAGCAGGGTTTTGCTGGCAACACTGTGTTCAGGCAGCAAGCCCCGGGGCTGCCTCTGAAAATTATTCACTGTCGTCAAGATGAACATGAAGTAAAGAGATAGACTCAAGTGAGGAATATTTGAAGGGAGAGTGTCCTTCACTGCATGATTGCAAAGAGGTCATTAGAGCAAATACTACAAAAAAGGGTCCGGCTCAGCACTTGAAGTTCTTTCCAGATAAGCTGAGAGGTTGAAAAACAACTCTTCAACTGGTAGTTTAATTATATATTCTTCCCTTCTCCTTCAGAAATTGGTGAAGTATGGGTCGTTTGCCACAGAAACACTTCCTTTTTCATTGGAGTTGACTTTGGAGTCCCTTTCACTTCAGAATGGAGGCCAAGCCATGAGAGCAAAGTTCAATATGCCTCGTATGTCTTATTTTCACATGCTTTAGCATTTACTATCTTCTAGCTAGAGAATTTTCAAAGGTACTCAAAATTACTTTAAAATCACTAAAAATAAAACTGAAGTGTCTTTATAAAGATATATAAAGGGTAAAATTTGAAATAAAACTTTTCTATGCCAATTCAACTGCAGAATTGCAAAACACCCTTTAAGCAAACTGATCACAGTTGAACTGAAAGAAGTTGTGGTGTCACAAGCTGGGAAGTAATAGGTGCATAATTACCATAGTAAGCTAAGCCTGCAAGAAATGAGCTGACTCGCTACAGAACAGAGGAGCATTGACAGAAGCAGATGAAGTGAGACCTGCAGCCTGCTAACAATGAAGGTCCATGACCTCTTTGAAGTTCTTAACATTTGTTTGCTCAGCCCCATTTTGACAATACCAATTCCTTCCTTCCTTCCTTTGAGAGCCCGTTATCCTCCAGCTGACTGGTAGGGCTGAAGTCAGAAACTGGCAATGGCAGGTAGAGTCTGTGCTTCCTCGTCTACTGTGTCTCAAAACTTCTAGAAAAAAATTAGTTCCTTTCCACTTGCCTGGAAAGGTGTGATAACAGATTAATGCTCTGTAAAAAATGGCAAACTCTTTATAAAAAAGGTTTGATGCATGCATATATCCATCTTTTTTTGTGGGGAGAAAAATACTAAATGTTTAGTCAAAACTTCCCAATTTGTTTAGTGAATTCATCTAATTGCACAATCAAACAGTGCAAAGTTTGTTTGTCATGCTCATTACTATGCTTTATTACATTGAAGACATCCTTAAAAAGTTCAGGGACTGCCACTTCCTTTGTCTATGGTAAATGCGGGAGGGGTGGGGGTGGGGCGGGGAAGTTTGGTCTGAATGACCGATTTCTAGATGCAGAAGAAGAACGTTGCTCAGCTGGAGGTCACACCTTGCGAGCATCGCCAGTCTCTAGTAGCTCACCTCTCCCAGTGGTGGCCGAGACAGATGGCTACATAAGGAAGTTCCTCCTGTTGCCAGGAGTGCATCTGTCCTTGACAGGTCTTTCCCCTCCTTTGTTTACCCTTTGACATGGTAACTGCTCTTTGGAGATTGCTGGCAGAGGGGAGAAGGAGCGGACAGAAAGAATACAAAAGCAGCGACAGTGCACAGTGCAAAGCATTGAACGTAATCGAGAGGTGGAGCTGAGCAACTGCTGTGTTGAGTATGTACCTATCTTTTATGGTTATAGAGACACGAAGCCTTCCTTCTTCCTTATGCAAGGATGAAAACGAAAGCACGTCCTTGAAATAAGGATGCTTGATGCAGAAGGATAAGTTTAAGTGATAAACTTGGACGAAGAGTTTAAAGTATTCTGGCACTTTTTAATAAGCTTTCTACAGTTGCTAAGAATACCAAGTTAAATAAATAAAAAGCATAACCCCAAAATGCTCCCCAAAACCAGGAGCAGTTGCTTCAAGTTTGCAGTTCCAAAACTTTTTTTTTCTCTGTCTACCTCCCAGTCATAAGGCAGATAAATTACATTGTTAAGTTGAAACATGCAACTTCTGTTCAAAGAAAGTTTACTGACATAACTGGGAAAATGTGAAGTCTATCAGATGGAGGGAGAGTGGGGAAGAAGTCAGTCACTTCTTTAGTCTAGTAAGACAGCTACTGTGGAAGAATAAAGTTTCTCTCTAGAAACACACGAAGGCAAAATTACTTGGACAGAAAAAGCTATTTAAACCATAGGACACTAAGTAAACTGTTACATATTTTCCATGAATTAATTTAGGATTAATCAGGAGACAATATCTAATTATCACAGTAGCAAGATTCTGGAA